GAGAAAAGAGAAAGAATCAAGGAGAATACCACAGTTAATGGATGAACAGGGTCTAGTCTGTCATGGTAATAAGGAGAAAAAGAGAATTATTCGAGATTTTTATGCGCAATTATATAAGCAGGAGGATTTTGATGAGGGGAAAATTAAACAGTATTTACAAAATGCCAACCTACCCAAGATATCTGATGAAACTGGGAAAATGTTGGAAAATCCTATAACAATGATGGAATTAACTGAAGCACTTAATAGACAGAATAAGGGGAAAGCACCAGGACCAGATGGTTTCCCGGCAGAATTTTATAAAACATTACAAGAATCATTGAGCATTTCAATGTTAGAAATTATGAATGAAGTTATGATAAATAAGAAAATACCTAAAACATGGTCAGAAGCTTATATTACGCTTATTCCAAAAGAAGGGACTGACCCATCACAAATTAAGAATTATAGACCTATTTCTTTATTGAATGCAGATTATAAAATATTTGCTTCAATTTTGGCAGAAAGGCTTAAAAAATACTTAAATAATTTTATTCATTCTGATCAGAATGGATTTCTACCAAAGAGACAAATTAAAGACAACATGAGAGTAATTTTGGACACTTTGGAATATTATGAGGCACACCCTGAAAAGCAAATGGCTTTGATATTTTTAGATGCTCAAAAGGCATTTGATAATGTGAATTGGAGATTTATGTTATTATTATTGGAACAGATGGGTTTTGCTAGAAAATTTATTCAAGCAATAGAAGCTATATATTATAAGCAAACAGCAAAAGTGATGATAGATGGAGAATTTACAGACTCTATCAATATTAAAAAAGGCACAAGACAAGGATGTCCACTATCCCCTTTGTTATTTGTATTGACTTTGGAAGTATTAAATAGAAATATTAGAGAGGATACAAATATAAAAGGAATGAAAGTTAAAAAGGAGGAATTTAAATTGCAAGCCTTTGCGGACGATTTGGTCTTTATTCTGGAAGACCCTCTAGAGACAGCTTTAAAACTACTGGAAAAGATAGAGACGTATGGTGAGATGGCTGGCTTGAAAATAAATAAAGACAAAACAAAGATTCTGACAAAAAATATGTTATTAAGGCAAAGAGAAGAGTTGGCAGACTTATTGAAAATTCAAGTTACGAATAAAGTTAAATACTTGGGGATAATTTTGACGTCAAGATGTACTACACTGAAAGAGAATAATTATATTAAACTTAAACAGCAGATAGCATCTGACTTGAAAAAATGGGAAAATCTACAATTATCTTTGATAGGTAGAATCTCAATAATTAAAATGAATATTTTACCCAGAATTTTATATTTGTTTCAAACAATACCAATTAGGCTTGGTAAAGACTATTTTGATGAATTAAATAAAATGGTGTTGAAGTATATATGGCAAGGTAAGAAAGCGAGAATAAAACTAAAACTTTTACAGGATGCTAGAATTAGAGGAGGATTTGGCCTTCCTAATTGGGAGTTGTATTATCAAGCTGCAAATTTAATGTGGGTTAAAGAATGGATAACGTTAAGAAAGTCTAGATTACTGGCATTGGAAGGACATGATTTATTATTGGGTTGGCATGCTTTTTTATGGTATAAGGGAACTAAATCGCAGGGTTATTTCAGAAGGCACTATATACGGGAATCGTTATGGTTGAATTGGGAGAAAATTAAGAAACAATGTTATTTGAAAATTCCAGTTTGGTTATCAACTATTGAAGCTTTTTCCTATCCTATAATTTATAAGAAGGAACAAACAGTTAGATATGGGGAAATACTGGATGAAAAGGGTGAACTTAAAACGATGCAAAAGCTAGAAGAACAAGATATAAAGATGAATTGGTTTTCATATGCGCAAATACACTCAAGGTATCTTAAAGATTCTAAAACAGAAGGATTTTATGATAAATTGACTGATTTAGATGGGATTTTGACAGGTGCTGATGAAAAAGTGATTAAAAAACTATATAGTTATTTGTTGGAAATTAAATTAGAGGAAGAACAAGTCAAAGAAACAATGATTGTTTGGGGGAAGAACTTTGGATATGGGATTGATTTAGAAAAATGGCAAAAATTGTGGTCTCAAAATTATAAAATGACAATGTCAGTAGCATATAAAGAAAATTTGTATAAGATGTTTTACAGGTGGCATTTTCCCCCGACAAGAATAGCAAGAATGTTCAAGAATAAATCCGAAAAGTGTTGGAAATGTCATCAGATCCCTGGCTCATATTACCATATGTGGTGGACTTGTGAGGAGGCCAGGAAATACTGGACTAGAATTCGCATATGGTTGGAAGAAATGACAAAAAAACATATAGATTTGAAACCAGAGATTTTTCTATTGGGAATCTTACCTGATACATTTGATAAAAACTTAAAGTATTTGATTGTAAATGTGTTAACAGCGGCTAGGATTGTATTTGCTAGAAATTGGAAGAGTGAGAAAATACCATTAGAGGAAGAAATTATCAAGAAAATATTGGAATGTGCTGAAATGAGTAGATTGACATTTGAAATTAGAGAACAAGAAGATAAACAATTCTATGAAGTTTGGGATCTTTTTTATCAATGGTTAGATAAAACAATATAATAATAGAATATATATATATATTTTGGTTTTGATAATATTTTTAGAATATTATATTAAGATAGATTTGGTATGATTTTACGATTTGTTATAAATTAACTAAATTATAGTTATCTCGCTTAAGCATGAATTAGTTAAATTATAGTCAAATGATTGTTTAATAAGGATATTAGGATATATAATTGTTGATTGATAATATGAGTTATTATGTAACATAATTATTATGATGACTATGAAATAGATGCACAAAAAGGAGTGATAAACCAACCGATACACTGTCTGTAAATTTATGAAGAATGATGATGTTCTTATGTTATGTTTTATGTTTTATGTGTTTTTATTTGTTGTTAAAATCAATAAAACTTTTATAAAAAAAAAAAAAAAAAAGATGTAGGCCTGCAACAGCTTCCTGCACAGGCGGACACAGGCCTTGGTGCTCGCTGTGGTGCTGCTGTTTAATTCTGTGAGGGCATAAGCCAACAGTTTCCTCCTTAATGAATAAGGGTCCAAAATAAAATAATTATATCTGAATATCTATATACATACATACATACATACATACATACATACATACATACATACATTAGGGTGATTTCCCCTGGGTTCCAGGAAGGAGCCCCTGCTTGGGGGAAGAAAAGCCTCTCACAGTTCCAGAAATAAAATGAAGATCACTACCATGCGGATAGTGAGTCTGCAATGGTGCCGGCCGTTATCTCTTTAGGCGCGTAATGAGTTAAATCGGCTCAGCAGCAATTGCGCGCCTTGTGGGGAGTCAATACTGCAGAGTTCCCCCTGAATAAAAAGGCACGGTGGGGCAGATGGCCGTTGATGCCCCCACCTCAGACAGTGTTCCCAGGGGAGAGAGAGAAGCCTCGGACCCTTTTAAAATGGAGCTGCTCCCATCGAGCGCGGGCGGTGGCGATCGCAGCAGCTCGGCTTGAAAAGGTCCTAATGGTACAGGCTAAGAAATGTGAGTTGTTAGCCATGCGGCTGAGGCGTTATTGCCTCCGATCGCCCTGGGGGCTATGGTGAGCTTCCTCGGCTCAAGTTATATGCTGTAGGGAGCTGCTTGACTCATTGAAACTAAAAGCCTTAAAGGATTTGTTTAGAGTTTAAAAGCAAACCTTTTTTTGTCTCTTTTTTGAAGCCTTTGCTGTTCCGGCCAAGGGAAAGGAAATTAAGCTGCCTCTATCCACGAAGGCTGACCAAAAACTGGGGATGCTAGGGAGGAGTCCCATGGAGGAGGAGCGTCCTCTCAACCTCCCAGCCTATCATCCCAATCATTCAATGGATGCTCTGAACAGCTCATCTGGAGAATTTTACATATTGCTCCGCTCCCTAAATATGCAGAAACACAGACAAGCAGTAAACATTTCATGACTATTGAGTAGCCTGAGCCTTTCAAGGGTTTTGGCAAAGAAAGTCAAGGGCATCTGCAGAGAATGGCAAAAAAACATCAAAATGGCAGCCATGACCATGAGAATAAAAGCCCCCCCCCCTTTTTTTTACATGTATTTCACATATAAAAGAGCAGAGCTTCATCACATGGGAATAGCTTTAATCATGACTTTTCAAATGATTGCACGTGCACAAACAAACACACAATTCATCTGGTTAAGTTTTGGTACCTACAACTACAATTTCCCTGAAGATGCCACTATCTCCCTTTGGTTTCCAGTAACAAAACTGTTAGTCTATTTTATTAAACATTTAAAGTATTAGTAATTGTTATCACACCAGTCTACTTATTAGGAAAAGTGTGTTAATCTGTTCCTCTATTCTAAATCAATACAATTTAAAAAATAAAAATAAAACGCAATTCAGTCCCATATAAATCTAATTACAGAAAATGAACTTATGGTTTTAAGACAATTCAATTGATCACGCCTTTCTTAATTGAATCTCAAACTTTATAACCATGGCAATATTTGTTAATTTATATTGTATGTGTAGGCAAAAAGGGAAAAAACACCTTTCCAGTAAATTTAGATAGCATTCATTTGATGATGTTTCTACCTGGTCTATAGTTTTCAAACATTCATAAATAAAATGTAGAAGGCACAAAATGAACAATTGGAAATATTATTTCTGCAGTATTTCTAAAATGGGAATGTCATTTTTAAAATCTAAATTAAGTACAGTCCTTAATTCATTCATACCTCTATTATAAATTTTAGGAATGTTAAATGTTAATTTATACCTATATTTGGAATAAAAAACAGCATATTTTGAAAAAGATTAGACTGAAAATGTACTGCATAGTATATAAAAATAATCTAATTTCTCTTTATTTAAATTGTGTGTAAGAAAATCAGAACGAGAATATTTTATTATTACTAATGAATTATTATTCAAGGCTTCTGTTACTATATATTTTTCAATAGCCGAGAGTAAATAGCCTTACTCTTTCTCTGTATCTCCTTCACTTTCTTCTGAATGATCATAGCTCCAGCTATTTTTAAAACCTCCATCCCGTTTGGACTGTGATTTATCCAAAGCTGAAAAGAAATAAGTTAGGATCAGTTCTGGTTCCAAGAAACTCATAAATATATATCTATATATAAAATAAAGTAATTTTAATAATGAACAATCCACAGTATAATTTAGGTTCATTCAATCTGGGGGAAAGGAGTAGACAAAACCAAACTAAATTTAAATGCAGTTCAGATGCACTTAATGTATGTATTTCCTAATAGTGGGATGCAGGCTTGTAAGGCAGTCTCTATATAGTTTGTACCATTCCATAAAATAGCATGAGTATAAAATAAAAATAGCATGGATCCAACTAAGGTTAGTATTCTAATCTACACTTTTTATTTTACTAAAAAGCATTATAAGTAAGCTTTGATTGAAAATATCACAATGGAAAGTGGATATGTATACTGTATTTCTCTCTTTTTCTGTTTTTTTTTTTTTTTCCTTTTGCTTGATGTTGTTTACTACTAAAGGAAATGTGTGTATGTGTTATCATCTGGAGGAATTCTGGGGGACCATGAAAAATCCATATGAAGTTCTGAAGACTCAAATTGTGTTCTCATGGTGAAATTGATAAGCTAGGCAATGTTTATACACAAGTTCATTTATTTTTTAATATTGCTGTAGTAGTTTACTTCATATTTTTATTTTAAATACAGTGCTGTCCTATAAAGTTGAAGAGCACAATGATGATTTCAAAGTAGGTTAGCCAGCAAATATAACAACATTCCAAAAATGAGTGCACCATATTCCCACTCAGTAGTCAGAAATTTATTGAAAACAAATACTTGCAGGATTTAGCAAAAATACTGTTCATGTATAGCCTTATCATAAATTCACTAACTGTGGCAAAGGGTTGCTTCTGACTCCGTAAAAATGAATGTTCCTTACTGCATTAGTTGTGAACACTATTTGTACTTTGACTTCAAATGGAATGAGGAAGAAACTTAACAGAAATACGAACAGGAATAGACATCAATCACATCTACTAGAGTGTGGTACTTAAAATTCCCATTATAGTACATTCCCCACTTTCATTGGTGTAAATGAAATCTGAAGTGTAATTAGTTCTTTTCTGAATTCTGTTCCTATTGCAGTCTGAAAAAAATAAATAATTAAAACATCTCATTACCTCTTAGGGAAATGCCCCCCCAGAGGCTCCTCTGAGGCTAGGAAGCTCCCAAAACGGAACTTGGAGGGATGCTGCATGCACATCCCATGCTGTTTTTTTCCTTCCTGAGCCTCAGAGGAGCCTTTGGGGAGCAAAAACGCCCCCCTGAGGCTCCTCTGAGGCTAGGAAGCTCCCAAAAATAGGTGGGGGCAGCAAAAAAGCAAAAAAAAAAAAAAAAGCCACACCCACCCAGTCACATGGCCATGCCCACCAAGCCTCGCCCACAGAACCAGTAGTAAAAAAAATTGAATCCCACCACTGCTCTTAGGAAATGGTTAGCAGACAACATACGGCTGAAGAGGTTACAATAAAAAAATACATAAGTCACAATTAAAAAAAAATACACTGCACAGGCAAAGTGGAAGCGCTATCAGGGTGTTCCTTCTTTGTCTGGGAATGCCACAGAAGCCTACATACACAAAGGGAGTGAAAAGCTCCATCCAACTTTTGACAGTGCTTCTGATGTGCCTCATCCCTCTTTCTTCTTTTTCTCCATATTGCTTCAACAATAACCTGCTTCTACGATTTCTAGCATAATTCTTTCACAACCTCTCCTGAGGTGCCATTGCTGCCTTAATTCAAGAGGCATATTCAAGCACCACCCACTAAATGCTAGAAGGGGAGTGGATAAGTCAGTTGGATAGCCAATAGCTGAATACAAGAAGCATTTTTCTTATCTCCCCATTCTGCCATGTGAATTTAAATTTAAATTTAAATTGAATTTAAATGACAAATATAGATAAATAATAGATCCCACTTACCCCCCCTACTCATCCTATTCCCTTCCCTGCCTCCCTTCCCATCTTTTAGCCAATTTTCTTCATATTGTATATATGTTCTCCGTGGAGCTACTGCGAGCATCCAGATAGTGGGAGGTGCTCCAGTCTTCACTCTAACAGGCTGAGCTATAATTGAGGAACGCTCCTCCTCCTCCATGCGTTCCCCCAGTTTTAGCTCAGCCTCGCAGAGACAGGCAGCTTTAACACTTCGCTCCTTGGCCGAATTGGGATTTCTCATTAATATTGTTCAGGTTTGATTTTTTCCTTGTTTCCTCCGGTCCCTGCGCATTTGGATTGTCTGGGATATAGAAGGGGTCGTTTATTTTTGCCCCTCAGGGGGAGATTGGGGGGTTTAGGGCCCTTTCGCCCCCCCATCCCCCTCACTCTGGTGCCTGCCGTTTCCAAGCGCCAGCGCTTCCGGTGAGCTTTTCCGGGTAGAAAGCCATTTCTACCCGGAAAAGCTCACCGGAAGCGCTGGCACCGCCATCTTTTTTTATGAAAAAGTGCTTCCGGTGAGGTCACCGGAAGCACTTTTTCATCAAAAAAAGATGGCGGCGCCCAGCTGATGCCGGTACCGGGCCGCGGCATAAAAAAGGTTGGGGATCACTGCTCTAGGGAATCTCAGTCTGTACCACCAGCCCCCCCTACCCCCTCTACTTCTACTCACCCTCTTCCTTTGCCAGAACAACCTTCTGTTTCTAGGCGCAGTTCTCCCGCTCAAAGCCTCCAGACCACCCGGCCTGAAGCGACTTTCACACCAACCGCTGCAGGCTTGCATCCAGAAAACCCATCCTCATCCATTATTCCGGACAGCATTAGAGAGTGGATGCAGCTGGCTATCAAACAAGGAATAGCAGAGGGCATGCAACAGTTGTCCAAAACTGGATCCCAAACGATGGCACCCGAGGTTGAGTCGATGTCCGGAAGATCTCTCTCCAGACCGCCATCACATCACGGTCAGGTACCTTCCCAAGTGGAAGCCCCCTTCCTAGAAGGGGAGGTGAGCCAGGAAGAGGAAGAAATGGGGTTTGAACCCTTCAGGGAAGAGGAAGGTTCAGACAGGGGGTCGATCCAGTATTCAGAACCATTCTTCGAGGTAGACCCCATGGAAGGGGAGATGTCCGAGGACGAGGGCATTTCCCCTGACCAGCCAGTATTCGTAGGCTTATTTAAGCCTCACTTGTTTAAGTCCTTGTTATTCAAGGCAAAGAATGTCTCGGGCCTGACTCCCCAGGCTCCTTCTGAACCATCACCGGCGATCCCGGGGGGACCAGAAGACTCAGTTTTCAGACAGCCAGTCATCGAAACCGAGGTCGTTCCAACTCCCCCAATTTTTTCCGATTTGGTCGCTAGACAATGGGCCTCTGCGGGCCCCCCTCCTGCTCCCTTTAGTCAAGACAAGAGGTTGATCAATCTCGATTCGGAGTTTTCTAACATGCTAAACACTCCGGAGGTAGATGATCCAATAGTGAGGTTAGCATCCTCATCCAACCCCACTGACGCTTTAGAAGCGCTGAAGCCGGAGGATAAGCGAGCTGAGATGGCTTTACGGCGAACGCACCAGTCAGATGCTTGGGCCATCCGGTCGGCCACAGCCGCATCATTCTTCACCCGAGCTTCTATCAGGTGGCTCAGACAGTTAAGACAGCATGTCCCCCCTTCAAACACTAGGGCACATCAGGACATTGCGAAACTAACGGCCGCAGCAGAGTTCGCGGCCGATGCCACTTTTCATTCCGTAAAATTTTCTGCTAGGGCCATCTCCTCGCACGTCTCTGCACGTAGGTTACTATGGCTTCGGCACTGGCAGGCCGATGTCAAGAACAAAGCCAAATTAGCCTCAGCTCCTTTGTCAGGGGGAAAATTGTTTGGCCTAACACTTGATCCGTTGCTGATGGAGAGCCGGAATAAGAAGTTCCTTCCATCTCTTTTTCGAAGGCAAGAGTCTAGAGGGTCTCAGTCCTTTCGGAGGGGCTCCTTTCGATCTTCCTTTCCACCGGCCTTCACCCCCAGGTATCAGGGCTCCCCGATGTTCCGGTCAGCCTATCAGGACCGGAGCGACTCGGGGGATAGAAATAGAAGGGGAGGCTCCTACAGGAGACCATTCCGGGGCGCTGGGAATAAAGCTCCCCGCCGTCCCAGGTAGCCCTTCAACTTCTTATCCCATTGGCGGTCGCCTTAAGTACTTTGCCGACCAGTGGGACTTATCCACGTCTGATTCCTGGGTTAGGGATACTGTAAGGTTTGGTCTCCCTCTTCAGTTTCAATCGCCTCCTCCGGAGCACTTTATGGTTTCTCCCCTTTCCAGGAACCCGACTAAGCGGGCTCTCATGGCGGCCGCTATCACTCATCTTTCCAATATCAAGGCCATCCAGCCTGTACCCTTGTCACAGCGGGGAGGGGGGTTTTATTCCCTCCTCTTTCAGGTCCCGAAGCATTCCGGGGGTTGGAGACCCATTTTAGATCTAAAGAGGCTCAATCGCTATGTTGTTCATCACAAATTCAAGATGCACACACTTCAGTCTATCTTACAGGGTACTAGGAAGGGAGACTGGCTCACTTCCATCGATCTCTCTGAGGCTTATCTCCATGTACCCATTCACCCCTCGTATTCCAAGTATCTGAGATTTTGCTATAACAATCAACATTTCCAGTACGTAGCCCTTCCTTTCGGTCTTGCCTCGGCCCCGAGGACCTTTACCAAGGTGTTGGCGGCCCTGGCAGCGCACCTTAGACACTTCCCTATTCGCATTCACTGCTACCTTGACGATATCCTTATTCTGTCTCCTACCCGACATCAGGCTGAGAGTGACACTAAGATTACCCTCTCAGTGCTTCAGGCTCACGGATTCCTCGTTAACTGGGAAAAGAGCCAGCTTAATCCTTCCACCTGTATAGCGCATCTAGAAGCTGTAATTGATTCGGTTCAAGGGAGATTCACCAGTATACAAAAAGCTACCAAGACAATCAGGCAAAATAAAAGGGCTTCGTTACTAAACCTATCCAAGCTGCTTGGAAAGTTGGTCTCCTGTATATCAATTATTCCCTGGGCACGTTTACATTCCAGATCCCT